ACTGCCTATTGTGGCACAAATCATTGATTGTCAGAACATTTTGGCTTATAATTCAACTAAATTTTGACAATTGCTGCTTATACCCAGTGTTTCTGGTTCTAGTTGCTGTGGGCTCTTGAAAACATGAATTCGAGCTGGAATTCTGAGTTGAAAACAAGACAAAATAAAAACTGGCTGCTCTTGATTGCTTGAGGGGAGGGGGAAAGGGGAAAAATGAACGGAACTTGTGGTCACACCTGCACGGCAGTATGTTTGGGTTTCCGCCTGAGAACATCCTGGTATATATAAATAACAATTATACGATTGTGACACTCATTCCAAAAATGTATATATAACAGGGGAGTGGAGCAACAAGCAACCATATTTCAGTTGAAAGATTAGATCACGGAAAGAACTAAAAAAACCAACAGTGAAAAGAACAGTAAGGCAAAGAAGCAAGCCTGGTGAATAAGAACAATACAGTAATGGATACAAGAGATGTAGAAGATATTCTGCCACACAGGAACCCAGAAACAGAAGAAAATACTGTAAAACTTTGTGAAGGTTCTTTGCTCTCCAAGGACTTGGACATGTCATCATAGTGTAATAAATATATAGAGAATTACTTTATTACAAAACACATCTTCCCCAAATTACAGGGTTATCTCCACACTTCTAGGCTTTGCAAGGTGATGTTGTCACATGAATATGTCTTCGGTCCTTTAATACTTAGTCTTTTAATACTCAGTTCAAACTAAAGTCTCAAAGTCTTTAAAGTAACATACAGCTTTTGCCTTTCTCCAAACATTCTTGTACGAGTTGGGATGAGGTGCTGTTTCACTGTTGTTGCTTCTTTTCTTATTGCTGCCAAGCTCCAGGAAGGACTCCTACCAGGATAGGCTGTTCAGCATAGCTTATGGTCCCAGCAGGTGAATGAAACTCCTCTTGCCTGCTTGCCTCTGGCCCATCTATAGATATCGCCTCCACTTCCTTGTCTAGGCTTTGTGCGTTTACTGGGTGGGGAAAGCTGCCCTTGGAGGGTCTGCACATCCTTGAAAACACCAGGGTATAAGTGTATGAGTGCATGTCTGAATGGATGAGGGTAGTGCAGGGAAAGTGTTTCTACCTGGCTGCAGCTGCTTTTTCCAAAGCATAGGCAGCAATCCCAACTTCACTCCCTCTGCTAAGACTTCTGAGCAGAAAGGAAAAAAAAATACACTGCAGAACAGGAGACAAATTAACAAATCCACAAGGGGCAGAAAGGATGCAATTGTTCCTTGCAAACTGGGTAGGAAAATAGGTATGCAAGATGGTGACTCACTAGCACAAATGTGTCCAAAGTGAAACCAGAGGCTTAATATATATTCTCAGGTAGGAGCAAAGGTTATACAGCAATTTAATGCAGTGGTTAAGGCATCAAGCTAGAGACCAGGAGACCAAGGCATGAAGCCAACTGGGTGACCATGGGCCACTCTCTCTTTCAGCCCTAGGAAGGAACAATGGCAAAACATTTCTTAAAATCTTGCCAAGAAAACTGCAGAAATACGTCCAGGCAGTTGCCAGCAGCCAGCACTGACTTTTGACCTTAACCTGTATTAGCATTGTAGTCTCCTGGCTAACATGACATTGCCTTGTGCTAAATAAATAAGCACTGACTTGAAGGCATTAAAAAAAGGACCAAGGATCAGGGATGTCTGAACCCCTCCCAAATCATACCAAAGCCACTGATGGTTTTTCAAATGTGCAGCATTAGGGGGGGGAAAGTGTTTCACAGTGCATGGGAACAGGAACAAAGCATCTCTTATCAGATTGCTAAAGCAGCCATGTCTTTTCAGAAGCGAATGTGCTCTGAAAGCTGTTCCCAGATGGTTTGTCTTTACTTTGTAAAGAGAAAAAGAAAGATACATGGTCCATAGACTAGCCAGCCTGCCATCAATACAAAAGAAAGCGATTCTTATTTCTGGTGAAAAGATTCTTTTGGTCAAAAAGGATACTGGACGTTTTGCTTTGTCCTCCCCACTCTCACCTCCAATCTCAGTTATGATATCTAGTTTTTGGGCTCTGCACTTTAAGGATACAGTGAAACTTAAACCAGGGGGAAAGAAACTGGGTCTGTCTACCATTGAAAAAAAGAAAACTGAAAGGCCATATGCTGACACTATTCAAATATGCAAATGGGTATAATCCCAAAGATTGTTCTGTATCATCCCAGAATACTAAGACACAAAAAAATGGATCCTCGCTACATGATTGCAATTTCTATCAGAACATTAAAAAAAACTCCTAATCATAAGAGCCATTTGACAGGAGGATCCATTATACACCAAAATGATTGTCTGCCTTTCATTAGTACATGAGTATATTCATGTAGAGGCTAGGCAGACATCTGATCTAGAGAATCAGATGTTCGGATTGGTTTAATTTGAATTTCTGTACTCAGCAGGACAGTCAAGTTTAATAATCTAGCTGAATATTTCTGATTCTGTCACTCTAGGTAATTAGTTCTTCAGTCAAACACTTCACTTAGATGTTTCATTCAAATACATTTCTTAAATGAGACGTTGCGGAGTATTCTTGAAATCCAGCAACAGTATAATATTTCTGACTAGCTGATTTTGTACTGGAATATTTTATCTGAATCCAAACTTTTACTGCAGAATGACTTAACAGAGTGCATACATTGCCAATTTTAAATATAATATGCATACCGTTTTCCATCCAGATTCAAGCAGAAGCAGGAAATGATATATATGAGTTGAATATAGCCAAACTTTCTCTCAAACACAGGTTAATAGACTTTAAAGAATATATAAGCATGGAAGATTTGGTTTGATTTATGGAAATAACCTTATCTAGCATCTTTCTGAGAAAACATTTTTTTAAAAAAAAAAACTACTTTGGTACTCCATTAAAGTTGCTTTCTCCTAAGTTGGAAATCAATTTAATAAGCTTGAATTAGAATGCCAGAGTGTTTTGGAGAATAGTACCTGATCACTTAGCTGATTCACTTCTCAGATTATTTTGTTAATTCAGTATTCCTTAGCTTGCTGCCCTCTAACATATAACTTTAA